GGAAACACAGCCATAGCATTACTGTTACAAGTTTGTGGAGGGCTCCTATGTGCCAGGTACTGTTAAGCACTTCCTAGACACGATCACTTTAATCCTTCCAAAAGGGAACGGGAATTACACATACTTTACAGCTGGATAGATTGCAGTTGGGCAAATAATCACAGCCACGACGATGAGCGAACAACATGGCAGGCAGCGTGCGGAGCACATTCTGTGGATCGCCTCGGGCTGCGTTCACAACATCCCCATGTGACTACCATCCCTGTGTTACAGGTGTGGAAATGAGGTACAAAAGGGATCAAACAGACTGCAGTCCAGAGCAGCCCGGCAGCAGCAGAGGTGCAACAGCAAGCATTCATGCTGCAGAACAGGACTCCAAACCTGGCTCCCAGTCCAAAGCTGCAGGGGCTCGTGCATAAAAACTGTGTGGAGGGTCTAAATCCTTGCCTTCTTGCCCATCAATTTAGGCAAAAGATTCCACTGTCCCCACCCTCCTTCGTTTTCACTTTTCTGGGTGTGGTGTGGATGGAGGCTGTGAATTCAGACAATAGACAGAACTACTGTGAAACAAAGTAACAACGGAAATGGGGGGGGGGGTGCCGCAAGAATAGAAACCCCAGATGACTGGCACACACAAAACTTAATAATGACCCTACAAATACACATCAATTAATGCCAGAGGAGCAGCAATCAAAAACCACAGAGAGCTCAGGATGCCACTGATGAGTTCCTGATTAGAAAGTCCTGTGGCAGAAGTAGTCGGGCTCCCTGGCTCACTCCACTGGCATGTGCACAGTAGGAGTGTTGCAATGTTGCTAAGCAACGCCTGGCAACCAGACTTCAGATCGGATCATGCAGTAAGAGTCTTGGGGGGAACTCTACTAAGGTAATAATTCTAGTTCATGAAATTCAAATTTTAGTTAGCAGTATCTCATGTAATGGGTTCCTAGGAGGTAGCCCTTGACCACCCATCAAAGGGCAAGTCTGTAATGGCCCGTCGTGCCCTGGTGTTTTTGAGGTTCATGAGCCTTTTATTCAACATATACTTGTTGAAAACTCCCTAAGCGCCAGACACCGGTCTAGGCACAGAGGAGGAGTACTGTGACAGCTCACAGGTGACTGCATATTCCATAAGGAAAAATCACAAAGACGACACCAGAATCCTACTTTTAAGAAAAAGAAGCCGAGAGGTGTAGCAATCTGTTCAAAGTTGTACACTACCCTGGAGGAAGGTGGCCTCCTTGCTCTCTGGGCTATCCAGGAGAGTCCTATGCCTCTCTAAAAGGCCACATCACCATGGCTGGTCCAAAGAGGGCTCATAACATGCCAAGTTGTCCCTGGTCCTCTGAGCTGGCCCTGAGGGCTGGGAGGACCAGAACGTTGGATTTGGCTGTTGAGCATCTTGGAAAGTCTCCCACTTGACCTCTGGACCTCTGTGGTCAAGTGAGGGAAAGCCTATGACACGGTGTCGGTTTTTATTGGACCCCACCACCGGCAGAGCCTGCTGTCATCTGGAGTGATGGAGAAAATTAAGTTACCACATTCTCACGTTTCAGACTCTCGCCCGCTCTCCTTCGCAAACAGGAAATGTTTATTTAAATACAGCAGTTTCCAGCATGTTCTGGAGCCAAGTGGAAAAAAGCAAAGATGTCCACTCTTGCTCCCTCTGCCACCCTAGCTGTGGGTGAGAGGTGGGCCTGTGCCTGCCTCAGGGCAGGCCTGGGAGAAGGGGCCCCACATGAGGGTTCATTTTCATGCAGGCTGAGGCTGTGGTTGGAGAAGAATCACATCTGTGGGTTCCTTTTGTACTCAGAAGGGCAAACGCAACATCTGTTTACCCTGCACTCCCTGGTAAATGTTTTGTCTCAAGCACCGCCATTGACTTCCTCTGCTCCCTGGGCCTCTGTCTTTGCCGCTCGGATAATAAATGACACCGAATTCTCCCCTCCGTTTATTTAGCTTACTTGTGGGTGTTACCTCCTCCTCTTGGAGGGGGAAAATTGTCAGTAGTTTATAAAAGACAGAGGGTTTCCTTTTCTGTGTGATGCGCTGACATTATGGGGAAGAACTTGGAACACAGACAATCCCCCAACTCTGATAGTAGCTTAATAACGAACAATTCAGACCCTAGTTTAGCCTGAAGCCAAGTCCAAATGGGGGCTACTACATCCTTCTCACTCAGGGTGTCCTAAAGCTCCTATGACTAGGGGAAACACATTCATTCTTTCTCTCTCTCTCTCTCTCTCTCTCTCTCTCTCTCTCTCTCTCTCTCTCTCCCTCCCTCCCTCCTTCACAAGGGGCTTTCTGGAAGACAGCAACAGAAATGGAGAATGGGGCAGGCACTGCTTCTTTGTTTTAAAAACACAATTTCACCATTTGGGAGAACGGCTCTGCTGATAAAAATCAGTGTCCCATGACAGAAGGACCTCCAGGGGACTTAAAGGGCTCTTCAAGAAAGGTTCCCACTTCCGATCCTTGCCCACATCCTTTAAAGCTGAAGAGTTGGTTTTCTTCTGTGTATGCAATGATTTTACAGACAGGGGCAGGAATGCTACAGAAGGTTCAGGCAATGTTTGTTGAACGTGTGTGTGTGTGTGTGTGTGTGTGTGTG